AGTGTGCTTGTATTTGTATATATTAGTTTTGTTCTAAATACACGTTCCTCTGGATAACGGATATATATGTGCATATATATGCTTGTGTGTGTGTGTGTATGAGAGGCATTACATGCGTTGGCGAGTTATATGTGTTATATGTGCGTTCGCCTTTGTCTCTCTGTGGGATATCGTGTCCGTTTGAGTTTCGATAGTACTCGCTTAGGGATGTATGTGTTGAGTAACCTATGACCTTTCAGCAACTTACTCAATGGTCTTAAATGTGTCTACACATATCACGTTAAGCATGACAATTGTACTACGAACACCTAACACGTTCCCGCTTATTAGTGGATGAATTGCTATTATTGTACGCGTGTGTGCATACATATATTTCCGATTTTAGGGTCTAGTATTTCCGTCTGTATGGGGTAGCAATGTGCGGTTATTGTATATCAGGTAGTCATGGACGGCTCTTCCGGTAGGTATAAACGGTTTCAAAACATACGTATGTCTGTGTACCTCATCAGGCACACATATATCACCCACCCCACACACACATCACAATAGACAAACTATCGCCGAGTCCACAGCCGATGACGATTTCTTTCAGTTGGTATCGGGGCGGATGGAAGATGTGGACTATACGCGAATGCTCCGCACATCCACTTTCTGCCTGCACCTCAGAGGATTTCAGGTATGACAATAGGAAGTGGACATATATCGGGTATATGCCAGTTGTCGGTGATTTACATTAGGTCTGTGGGCCGTGTGTTTCACATATGTTGGAGTAGTGGATATGGAAGTTCAAATCTACACGTGGCGCAAATGATGATAGTATACATTCAATATATATATGTTATTATATCAACGTAATATTGCATTACGTATGTAGACCTTCTGCATTCATTCCAGCACTCGTTACTTAAACTCAACCACTCATGGCAATCCCGCTACCACTTCCAATGCCCATCCGTATATCATCACGATAGGGATGTTATTTACTTCTCACAACCACTTAATCCTTTAAGGATATCTGCTAGCTGGTACATATATACACACATATATACACACATGAATACACACATACATACACACATACATACACGCATGCATACACACATACATACAAACACGCACACATGCATACACATACATACACACATATATGTGTCTGTGCAACCAGCTAAGTACATATGTACACACATGTGTCTACTTACTTGTATTTTGTCCACATTCATGTGTCTGTGCAACCGCTTAATCCCTTTATACATATGTACACACGCACGTCTGCTTACCTGCACTTTTTCCACATTGTGGCGTCGCAGGTGTGGTCTCCACGGCTAATCGAGTATCTGTGGTTTGGCTGCATTCCTGTGGTGTTGGGCGACGATTACTATCTGCCGTACTCTGCGCTGTTCGATTGGGATAAGGTATGTGTGTATGTGACAGTGTATGGAGGGGTTTTAAGGGTTTGGGTTAGGGTTTTGGATTCAAAAATGAATGTTAAAGTATGTTGATGTATGTAAATGTATGAATGTATGTTAATGTATGTAAATGTATGTTGATATAAGCTATTACGAATCTATGCTAATCTATGCTAATGTTATTGTATGTTAATGTATGTTTATGTATGCTAATATATACTATTACTATTCTATGCTAATGCCATGTATGTCTATGTATGTTTATGTATGTAAATGTATGCTGTTATTTGCTAATACTAATCTATGCTAATCTGTGCTAATGTTAATGTATGTTTATGTATGTCAATGTATGCTCATATATGCTATTACTAATCTATGCTAATGTATGGCGTGTTGGGCCATTTGTTTGGCGCTCTCTTGAAAATCCCCACAAAGATCTGTGTTTCCATTTCACTATTACCCCACAGCTTGTTTCACGTAGTTCACTTCTTTAGGGTTTAGGGTTTACCTCACATTGATTTAAGGTTTAGGGTTTACGTTGTATGGGTTTAGGGTTTTAGGTTTTATTGCACGTGGTAGGCCGTTGTACTATGAGCACACCCAACACCTCTTTTTACACCCATCCTTCAACACATGCATTCAATCCCACTGACACGACATGTACACCCAACGCATGTCACACCTACACGCGTGCGTAGCTTGTACCCACCCCCGAGTTACCTACCCTACGCCCACCGCTTACCCACCGCCTCATGCCACACCCACACAGTTTAGCATTCGCATCTGCGAGGCTGACGCTGGCAACATCAAAAAAGTGCTGAAGGCCATCTCACCTGAGCGCATCGACGACATACGCAGAAGATTACGAGAGGTCGTCCATCACTTCACATTCCACAATCCCCCGCAGGTGCGTGTGTGTTTGTGTGTGTTTGTTTGTGTGTTTGTGTCATGTGTTTATGTGTGTGTTTGTGTGTCATCTGTTTGTGCGTGTGTTTGTAAGGTTAGGGTTGAGCGTGGCCAGGTGGTAAGCATGCAATTACTGAATGGTTAGCCTCACACTATGCACATGTCTCCTCAGTCACCCTTTGATGCCAATGACTGGTTGTATGTTCGTCTGTATGTGTGTACAGCCATGTCATGGTGCACAAGCTACAATCTATGTGTAGGGTTTTCCGGTTTAAGTCTATGTGTAGGGTTTTAGGGTTTAAGTCTATGTGTAGAGTTTTCAGGTTCAAGTCTATGTGTAGGGCCAGTCTTTCCGCACCTCCCACAGGTCTCTGCGACCATCGCATTTGTATGGGACAAATACAGCATAGCCCTGCATGTCCCATGACCCCTGTCCTGTTTCGCTCACATGTGGGTGCCACTCATCTCATCTGTTCTGCAGAGTGGCGATGCCTTCGACATGGCGGTTTACCAATTGTCGCTGAGGTCCGAATCAATCAAGTCACTGGGTCGTGGTATGCTAGTGTGTGAGAGTGCATGTTACATATGTATGAAGATATATATGTACACTCATGTATGTATACTCATATATGT